ATATATATATATATATATATATATATTTATATATATATACTTTAAAAATTCGTTGCTGTAACGATATATTTTGCTTTATTCATAGTTTTTTTGAGCCCCAAAAATTATGTCTTAAATTTCAATATATTAACTAGAAAAAATCAACTTTTGTTAAGTAAGGAGATGGTATAATAAATGCGAATATTAGGGGTGAAATAAAACTTTTTTGCACATTAAAGTGGCTTCTTAATTTGAAGGAATTTTGTATTAAGTGTTAATAATGATTGTCGCATTATGTTTTTTCTTCTCGCTGCAAATTTATACATGAGTTTATTGAACTAGATTACTTTTTTTCGGCTCGATTTGTTTTTCCGGATTTTTATCAGCTATTAATAGTTTTATGAACAATTTATTTTGCAGTGAGGAAAAGAAGTCAGCCCGCTAATCATTCGGAACGAAAAATCCCAAAATTTAGAGTGCATATGGATTTTTAGCTATAAAAGTTTTGGATTTCTTGACTGAAAAACGACTGATATGGACGCGACCAAGACAGATGAACAACAGTCGCAAACGAGCACTTCAGCGCCGATGAGCATCGCCAATTCGGCTACATTAGCGTCCACTACCTCGAAAATATCATTTGGGGTAAAGAAGAAAAAAGAAATTGTGAACAATTCAATCTGTCTTCCAAGTTTTGAAAAGAAAGCAACCGATAACGATGACGATTTGGAAGAACAGGATGCGAAGAAAATACAGGCAACACATTTTGATGGCAGTCGGTTAAAACCGTGTGTTTCATTACATTTTTCTTGATTCTTTGTTGGAACTATTTTAATTGCTCATTCAATTACCATTTGTTTTTATCGATGCCAATTGTGATGCTAATTTCCGTATTTGGATAAAACCTAACTCTTTACCCAAATTTTATTTATTTATTTTTTGACAGATATCTTGTATGAATTTTTTTCTTTTATTTTTAATGTTATGCGTATGGTTCCTAATTTTTCTAGTTCAGGGCCGGTGGGGACACCACAGCCAAGAAAACTTCTATTACTGTGCCTGTGATAGTAGAGAAAGACTGGCGAGTTAGGAAGTTATTAGAAAATTTATTACAAAAGAAGAAGAAAGAGGTTCTAACTCCGGAAGAGGAGGCAAAACTAGCTTTATTATCCTCGGTAAGTAGGCTTTACAACACCTGATCCTTGTTTTTTTGTTTTTTATTTTCGTTGCTATATTTAATGCGGTGTTAAGCCGAGTTCAGGTTGTATAAATATTTTGTTACGAGCTTTAATTTATGCCGAAGTACTAAGAAATTTCTACCAGGATTTAATCTCCACACGTCAACGAGAAACTTTCAGGCTGTTTAATTTGGATATTAACAAATTTTTTTACAGGAGGAGCACGAAGATAACACTGAAACTCTACTTGAATTGGGTGAACTGGAAGCTAATTATGATTCTGTTCCTGTAGAGAACTTTGGTCTTGCAGTGCTGAATGCTTATAATCGTAAAGGAAACGGCAAGCAGCCGTGAGTTCCATTGCAATAAGAGTTTAGAGGCAACAGTCTTTTAATTTACTTAGTCATGAAAAACACTGTGACAACAGTAGCAGAAGATTTTATTGAAAAAGCTTGAATGTTGAGGTTGCCGTTGTTAAACAGAATTGAGCATTGAAAACAAATTTAAATTAAACCCACTCATCCGCGTGGTACTTAATTAAACGATTTTGCGAT